AAAAAAATTAAATAGATATAGAATAAAATTATTAAAATTTTGAAAACTAACTGTATCGAATAAAAACTGAAAATTAGTAAAATTCCTACAGAGTAAAACGTATTGACATAAGTGTTTGAAATATATATTCCAGACACAAAAAGTCACTAATGACTTCGAATTCTGTTTCTATTCCCAGAAATCAATTTCAAATCAGAGTCAAATGAATAAATGGGACAGCGAGCATGGAAATAAAATAAAGCGGAAATGCATGTAGCAATGAACTTATCAAAATATACAATCATAAGCTAATGTGAATGCACTTCAATAAATGCATTTAATTCTCGTCGTTTGGACAAATTTAATATTCACATTATTCTAAATATATTTTTTCATTTCTAAGAAAAACAATTAGTACAATAAATTATTGGAGAATATGGAATAATGTTAAACTTGAAAAATTCGTAACTTTCTACGATGGATACGAGCATGAAAATTTGTTGATTGATTTGTTTTATTCATACAATTGTGATATCGATTTAAAATAGTTTTCTATCTTATAATTCATCAAAATATATGCTGAATATAGTGTCATGTCAGATTAGACTGAACATCCATTTTATTAAACTATCATTTGTTTAAGAAGCACAAGTGATTTTTAAAATCACAAGAGAGATCGCAAATTTATTATAAAATATCAAAAAATATATGATCACTTACACAAAATTAGTCAAATGATGCCTACAATATACCCATGCATCAGTAGAAACACAAAAGAAAAATTAATCAAGTTGGAATGAAACATTAAATTTGTAAAAATTTCGATACAATACCAGGTCAATTTCTCGCTTAAGTTATCAAAGTTAAAAAAATAGTGAATTATAAAACTGGCGGATGGCGAAAAGTCACAAATAAACTATTTGTCCTTGAAACGCAAACTGCCAATTATCCTGCAAAAAATATGCGAAGAAAAGGGAATGGAAAGTTTACCGCAAATCTGTTCACGATGAAGCTCGATACACTTCACACATGCCCCCATCAGAGATTCAGAGGCAGACGGTCAAGCGAGACACAATGTGATCGATTGTTTCGATGCACGACAGTGGATCACCAAGCGTAAGAGCAAGAACGCAAGATGTAGGGTAGTTTTGGGGTACACCCATCTCCCGCGGGAGGTGCTGACACCCTCGACCTGACGTAATCTTCTGACAGAGTAAGCCGGTAATCTCCGGGATTACTTTGTACTCTTGGCTACGTCCTCCTGCCTACATTTACTCGCACCGGCGTAATTCGCGCTGCAGAGAATCCCGGCAGTAATAGCGATTCCCTGCTGAAATCCTGTTGGAACATCTGCAGGATATCCGATCGGCCATGTCAGATTTTTAATTCGACCCTCTTTTCACGTATTAACATCGTCAACATTCTGCCAAGGATGCCACTCTCTTTCCCTTTGTACAATTGTTTTCACAAAAATCCGCAACGTTAGTTACAGCTTTTATCAAAATTTTCTGGCACAGGATTAAGTGAAAAATAGATTAATGAATGATTATGAAATATAATTATAAATTATGAAATGATTAAAAATAGATTAATGAACGATTGATGAATGAACAGGGAATGAACAGGATAGTATTTTTTAAAAGAAATTGTGGTTTTCAATATATTTGTTTGTTTTCCTCGGTCAGTTATTTTTTTTTTTTTTTTTTTTTTTAATCAATAATAAAGAATCAAAGACTAATTAAGACGTGTTCTAAAAATAATTATTTTTTATAGTCTTTCTACTCAAGAAAATTTGCTCAAAAATTACTATAAAATAACATAAAGTTCTGGCACAAAATTAAGTGAAAAATAGACCAAACGATTAATGAATGAACAGAGAATGAACAGAATAGTATCTTTTAAAAGAAATTGTGGTTTTCAATATATTTGTTTGTTTTCCTTAGTTTTTTTTTTTTTTTTTTTTAATCAATAATAAAGAATCAAAGACTAATTAAGACGTGTTCTAAAAATTGCTAAAAAGAATTATTTTTTAAAGTCTTTCTACTCAGGAAAATTCGCTCAAAAATTACTTCAAATAACATAAAAAAAATAAAAGAGTAGTAAAGAATAATTTCAAAGTCTCGCCATCGAGAAGCAAATTAACTAATATTGAACTTGCTGTTAGTAAATGCTTTCACGATCAATAAAAGTTAATAAAAATATAATTTGAAGGTTCAGCATGCTCTCCGAAACTCGATATTAAAATTTCCTTTTTCTCATCTCACTGCAAATGCGCCCGATATATAATTTTTGTTAGGTCAATAAGACTTTGTGCAAGATACACGGTTAATCGATGCAATTATGCGCCTCGAATGTGGTGCTTTTTAATATAAACAGGATTCTAAAAAAAAAAGAAAAAAAAAAGAAGGACGAAACATCGAGCAATGGAGATTAAACGAAGTAATGAGAAGCAAAGATGATAGAATTTAAATGTTGAATGTAATCTGATGAAGAATTAATAAATAACAGCAGCAGAATCGCAATTCGGCGAATCGATATCGTATAAAGGAGAAATAATTCCAGGAGAACGCGTGTTTTCATATCTCGTCCATGTTAATTAAACTGGAAACCGGAGGCACGTATTAAATAGCAATTAACGAGCTTTTAAAACGAATCTATACCAAAACGACATAACGAGAATGTTTCGGATTTTCAGATTACGTTAAATAGTTGAATAGCAAAAATTTTTCTCGACAATTGAAATCATTTATTGAAATCTCTTGATAATAGCAATTAAGCTAAATATTTACTTCACTAAGCTAAATATTTATTATTTTATTATTATTTTGTATTTTTATTATATTTTATATTATTTATTTTCATATAGTACATATTTTATATTATTATTTTGTATTTTTATATTATATTTTGTTATTTCGACTTTTTCTGCACATTTTTATAAACATATTATAATGAAATATTATGAATGTATATTAATACGTTAAAAAAAAAAAACAATTTTTAAAACTCAATGAAAAAATTGAGAATTACAGTATTGGCTCAACTGTGAATACGTGTAAAAGCATTAACAAGTAAAGTATTCAATTTATTAATGACCATAAACTTTCACGCACGAAGCTTCATACAAATTATTTGTAATAATATCCAATAAGTCTACAAATTATTTAAAACATATGGTGAGATATAAAAAATAAAATAGTAGTGAATTGTAAGAAATTCGGTAAATCAATGCAAGAACTACATCTTATAGAATAATTCCTCACTTACAGATTGCATCAAAAATACGTCTTAGACGAATTACTTTGAGTTTGAAAAGACGATTGCAAATGAATGACCAATTGCTCTAAATATGTTATTTTTCTTTATACGAGACGTTTTTTGAATACATTCTGATAAACAGCTACGCAATTTCGTCATTACGAATTATTAATTTGCCTCGCTAAATGATTTATCGAACGTGGAGGTCAAACAACGACAAACACATCGACTTGTTAGACACAGTTGTTGAAATTACATCCATATGATGGATCTCTTCCAATGTAATGTAATTCATTTGAAGCGTTTCTCCTTATAAGCAATAAGAAACAAATTATTTTAGGTAACAGTTCCTGCTGACTTACTCATTATGTATTACCGACACGACATAAAACCTACAAGAAATTATATATAATTTCTTGAACTAAGAGAATTAATACATTCACGATTGATAAATCGTTATAAGCGGATAAACTGAGAAGCACAAAACGTGCACAACGTGTTTTAAAGCTTCAAAGTTTTATACTTTCTAGCTGTCGATTTTAACCCTTTGCGCTGGCAACTGATTGCGGACCATAACGAGCGACCGTATACGATAATTCGTCGCTTTCTTTCTCTTTTGAACTCGTCGCTGACTCGTAGAATTTATTAAGAAGTAATAAACATATTATTCTGCCTGTACATTTAAATGTACTTAAAGCTGAGAAAATGTTGCAAATGTGGCAGGGTCGTTCCAACGCAAGAGGTTAATCAATGCGGTTAAAACAGGTTAAGAGACAAGCAGAAACCCCGATAATCTATATTCGCGGATCTGCTACGCGACCAGAGGG